CTCATAATGCTGACTTATGTCAGGGTTTAGGACTCATAATGCTGACTCATGTTCAGGGTTTAGGACTCATAATGCTGACTCGTGTCAGTTTTAGGACTCATAATGCTGACTTATGTCAGGGTTTAGGACTCATAATGCTGACTCATGTTCAGGGTTTAGGACTCATAATGCTGACTCGTGTCAGGTTTAGGACTCATAATGCTGACTTATGTCAGGGTTTAGGACTCATAATGCTGACTCATGTTCAGGGTTTAGGACTCATAATGCTGACTCGTGTCAGTTTTAGGACTCATAATGCTGACTCATGTCAGGTTTAGGACTCATAATGTTGACTTATGTCAGGGTTTAGGACTCATAATGCTGACTCATGTTCAGGGTTTAGGACTCATAATGCTGACTCGTGTCAGTTTAGGACTCATAATGCTGACTTATGTCAGGGTTTAGGACTCATAATGCTGACTCATGTCAGGTTTAGGACTCATAATGTTGACTCATGTCAGGTTTAGGACTCATAATGCTGACTCATGTCAGGTTTAGGACTCATAATGTTGACTCATGTCAGGTTTAGGACTCATAATGTTGACTTATGTCAGGGTTTAGGACTCATAATGCTGACTCATGTCAGGTTTAGGACTCATAATGCTGACTTATGTCAGGGTTTAGGACTCATAATGCTGACTCATGTCAGGTTTAGGACTCATAATGTTGACTCATGTCAGGTTTAGGACTCATAATGCTGACTCGTGTCAGGTTTAGGACTCATAATGTTGACTCGTGTCAGGTTTAGGACTCATAATGCTGACTCATGTTCAGGGTTTAGGACTCATCATGCTGACTCATGTCATGTCAGGACTCATAATGCTGACTCATGTCAGGTTTAGGACTCATAATGCTGACTCATGTCAGGTTTAGGACTCATAGTGCTGACTCATGTCATGTCAGGACTCATCATGCTGACTCATGACAGGGTGTAGGACTCATAATGCTGACTCATGACAGGGTGTAGGACTCATAATGCTGACTCATGTCTCTGGATGTGTGCAGGCGTCTTCACTGCCCCCCTGAAGGGTCTTTATTACGTGCGCTTCACGGGCAGCGTAGGAAGCTCGGGGTCCCTGAACGCAGCGCTGATGAAGAACGATGAGAACATGTTTGCGGTGTTCGACACGCGGGGGACGCACGGCAGCGCCTCCAACGGGATGGCTCTGGAACTGCAGGCGGGCGACCGGCTGTCCGTCACTCTGTGGGAGGGGCAGAGCGTGTTCGACCAATCAAGGATCAGCACCTTCAGCGGCTTCCTGCTGCAGCACCTGCAGGAGCCTCCCCCTCCTCCCCCTCCTCCTCCTCGTCCTCCTCGTCCTCCTCCTCCTCCCCCTCCTCCCCCTCCTCCCCCTCCTCCTCCTCCTCCTCCCCCTCCTCCTCCTCCCCTCCTCGTCCTCCTCCTCCTCCCCCTCCTCCTCCTCCCCCTCCTCCCCTCCTCCTCCTCCTCCTCCTCCTACAGCGCCCCCTGCAGGCCGGAACTAAGTACTGTAACTAAGTACCATTTAGAGGTACTTGTACTTTACTTGAGTATTTACATGTTATGCTACTGTGTACTTCTACTCGACTGCACCTTTACCAGCTTTGAGAACTCTTTCATGATCAATCATTATAAAACATATCATATATATTATTCTGAAATGGACCAATCTGCACAATGACTACTTTTACTGTCTCTACTTTCACTATATTTTGATGACATCACATTTAGCTGACGCTTTTATCCAAAGCGACTTACTTAGTGCATTTTGATGATAATACCTTTCTACTTTTACACTGTAGTATTTTAACTTTTACTCAAGTAAAATATGTGAGTACTTCTTCCAGCACCGCCTGCAGGATATGCACATACATGTGTATATATATATATATATATATATACATGTATGTGCTTTGATGAATGAATAAACAGGAAGTGGATGGAAACGTGTGTTTGTTGTTGTTTTTGATGCTTTTATTTTGACAGGATCACAAACAAACAGGAAGCGTTGATGAGACGGAATATCATATTAATTTATAACATGTTTTATTATTTACGATTTAATAATCCCAAACTTCAGTTTCTCATTTGTCATGTTTTAATGTTCAGATATTTAAGCTCAGATTTTGAGACAGGTGAGAGACAGACAGGTGAGAGAGAGAGACAGGTGAGAGAGAGAGAGAGAGACAGGTGAGAGAGAGACAGGTGAGAGACAGACAGGTGAGAGAGAGAGACAGGTGAGAGAGAGAGAGAGAGAGACAGGTGAGAGAGAGACAGGTGAGAGACAGACAGGTGAGAGACAGGTGAGAGACAGACAGGTGAGAGACAGACAGGTGAGAGAGAGACAGGTGAGAGACAGGTGAGAGAGAGACAGGTGAGAGACAGACAGGTGAGAGACAGACAGGTGAGAGACAGACAGGTGAGAGAGAGAGAGACAGACAGGTGAGAGAGAGACAGGTGAGAGACAGACAGGTGAGAGAGAGAGAGACAGACAGGTGAGAGAGAGAGAGACAGGTGAGAGAAGACAGGTGAGAGAGAGACAGGTGAGAGACAGACAGGTGAGAGAGAGAGAGAGACAGACAGGTGAGAGACAGGACAGGTGAGAGAGAGAGAGACAGACAGGTGAGAGACAGGTGAGAGAGAGACAGGTGAGAGACAGACAGGTGAGAGACAGGTGAGAGAGAGAGAGACAGACAGGTGAGAGAGAGACAGACAGACAGGTGAGAGACAGACAGGTGAGAGACAGGTGAGAGAGAGACAGGTGAGAGACAGACAGGTGAGAGAGAGAGAGACAGACAGGTGAGAGACAGGTGAGGAGAGAGACAGGTGAGAGACAGACAGGTGAGAGAGAGACAGGTGAGAGACAGACAGGTGAGAGAGAGAGAGACAGACAGGTGAGAGACAGGTGAGAGAGAGACAGGTGAGAGACAGACAGGTGAGAGAGAGACAGGTGAGAGACAGACAGGTGAGAGACAGGTGAGAGAGAGAGACAGACAGGTGAGAGAGAGAGAGAGACAGGTGAGAGACAGACAGGTGAGAGAGAGAGAGAGAGAGACAGGTGAGAGACAGACAGGTGAGAGACAGACAGGTGAGAGACAGACAGGTGAGAGACAGGTGAGAGAGAGACAGGTGAGAGACAGACAGGTGAGAGAGAGACAGGTGAGAGACAGACAGGTGAGAGACAGGTGAGAGAGAGAGACAGACAGGTGAGAGAGAGAGAGAGACAGGTGAGAGACAGACAGGTGAGAGAGAGAGAGAGAGAGACAGGTGAGAGACAGACAGGTGAGAGACAGACAGGTGAGAGAGAGAGAGAGAGACAGGTGGAGACAGAGAGAGAGAGAGAGACAGACAGGTGAGAGACAGACAGGTGAGAGAGAGACAGGTGAGAGAGAGACAGGTGGAGACAGAGAGAGAGAGAGAGAGAGACAGGTGAGAGAGAGACATGTTAGCGCTCCTATGACCACTGAACATATTCAAACACCTTGCTCTAAGGATTTAAATCAGACCAGTCTTCCTGTGATGCCTTCAGGTGCAGGCAGCCCTGTGGGGAAACAGAATCACAATAATCATTTTTTCGGATGTGTAATTAAAGTATCGTACTTCTATTGTTTCATTTCAGATTATATTTTGTATTATTGTTTTACACGTTAGAAATAAATCTAAATCAAATGATGAATATTTATACTTTATTATTAATGTTCCAGATGTTTTAAACCCACCTGAGCTGCGGGGCCCTCACTCGTCCAGGCCCTTCTTGGAGGCCCCGTCCCGGGTCTTGGCCCTCAGTTTGTTCACCTGCGACTCGGCGATGTCCGCCCGCTCCTCCGCCTCCTCCAGCTCGTGCTGCAGTTTGCGCAGCTTGGCCACGTTGCCGTTGGCCGCCTCCTCCGCCTCCTCGGCTGCGTGTTTGTAGGACTTGACCTTCAGCTGCAGCTTGTCCACCAGGTCCTGCAGGCGGGCCAGGTTCTTGCGGTCCTCCTCGGTCTGGTAGCTGAGCTCTTTGACGCGGCGCTCGTACTTACGGACCCCCTTGATGGACTCCGTTCCCCTCCTCTGCTCCGCCTCCAGCTCGTTCTCCAGCTCCTTGATGCGGCCCTCCAGCTTCTGGATCTGCTTCTTGCCGCCCTTCATGGCGATCTGCTCGGCCTCGTCCAGGCGGTGCTGCAGGTCTTTGATGGTCTGCTCCATGTTCTTCTTCATGCGCTCCAGGTGGGCGCTGGTGTCCTGCTCCTTCTTCAGCTCCTCGGCCATCATGGCTGCGTCAGTGATGGCCTTCTTTGCCTTCTCCTCGGCGTTGCGGTTCTCCTGTATGGCCTCCTCCATCTCACACTGCATGTGCAGGAGGTCAGCCTCGTGCTTCTTCTTCTGGTTGATCAGGATGGTGTTCTGGGAGTGCAGGAGCTGCATGCGCTCCGTCGCGTCGGTCAGTTCCTGCTCGGCCAGTTTCCGGCTCCTCTCCGTCTGCTCCAGGGCGGCCCTCAGCTCCTCCAGCTCGGCCTGGATCAGGTTGTTGCGACGCTCCAGGAGAGCGATGTTCTCTCTCAGGTCATCGTTCACATGCTGCGCATCATCCAGCTGCAGCTGAGAGTCCTTCAGGAACGCCTGGAGGGTCTTCAGCTGTTTCTGGGCGTCCGCCGCCTGCCTGTTGGCTTGGCTGAGCTGGATCTCCATCTCGTTCAGGTCCCCTTCCATCTTCTTCTTGACTCTCATTGCCTCGTTGCGGCTCCTGGTCTCTGACTCCAGAGAGGACTGAAGCGACTCCAGCATCCGTTGGTAGTTCCTTTTCGCCTGCTCCGCTTCCTCGTCTTTCTCTGCCAGCTTGCGCTCCATGTCGGCCTTCACTTGGTTGAACTCCAGCTGTGTTCTGAGGATCTTGCCCTCTTCGTGCTCCATAGAAGCTTCTGCCTCCTCCAGGGCCGACTGCAGCTCGGCCTTTTCCTGCTCCAGCTGCTTCCGGATCTTCTCCAGTTCGTGGGCGCTCCGGCCGCCCTCCCCCAGCTGGTCACTGAGGTCGGAGATCTCCTCCTGGAGGTTCTTGTTCTCTCTCTTCATCGTCTCCAGCTGATCCAGAGACTCCTCGTAGGCGTTCCTCAGTTTAAAGAGCTCCGTGCTCAGAGACCGGGCTTCCTTCTGAGAGGCCTCCAGCTCACACTGGGACTCCTCAAACTTCTGCTTCCACTCGGCCATGACTTTGTCGAAGGCCCTTTGCTTTTTGTCGAGGGCGGCAGATGCTGCGTTGGATCGCTCGAGGTCCAGCATCAGGTCTTCGATCTCATTTTGCAGGCGGTGTTTGGTCTTCTCAAGAGAGGAACACTTTGCATTCACGGCCTCGATGGCCTCCTCGGCCTCCTGTAGTCTCTGAACCAGCTTCTTCTTTGCTTCTTCCAGTTCCTCCATCCTCTGGATGCCATCCGTTTCATATTTTGTCCTCCACGCTGAGACCTCGGTGTTGGATTTGGACAGAGCTCTCTGCAGCTCGGCCTTGGCCTCCTGCTCCTCTTCGAACTGCTCTCGGAGAAGGTCGCAGTCGTGGCGAGCCGATTGCACCGCGTGGGCAAGGGAATTCTTCGCCTTGACTTCCTCCTCCAGCTGTCGGCGCAGATCCTCCACCTGCTGGTTGTACGAGTTCTTCCCTCGGGTCAGCTGTGATATCAGACACTCCTTCTCCTCCAGCTGACGTCCAAACTCCCCGTTCTCCGTGAGCAGCTTGGCCCTCTGGGAGGTGAAGTCGTTGATCGCCCGATGAGATTCCTCGTATTTACTCTTGTACTCGTTCATGTTGTCCTCCATGGTGCGGCACATCTTCTCGATGTTGGACTTGCTCTTCACCACACTCTCCATGTTGGAGGACAAGTCGTCCAGCTCCAGCTTCAGCTCGCTCTTCTCCTTCTCCAGTTTCTGCTTCACGCGCTGCAGGTTGTCGATCTGTTCGCCCACCTCAGCAACGCTGTCGGCGTGTTTCTTCCTCAGGGCGGCGCCGGTGGCCTCGTGTTGGAGGGTGGACTCCTCCAGCTCCCGACGCAGCTTCTGAAACTCTGCATCTCTCTTCTTACTCATCTCCACCTGTGCTGACGTAGCTCCTCCGGCCTCCTCCAGGCGCTCGCTGATGTCCTCCAGCTCGCGGGAAAGATCCGAGCGCTGCTTCTCCACTTTGGCCCGAGCCGCTCGCTCCGCCTCCAGCTCCTCCTCCAGCTCTTCGATCCTCGCCTGGTTTTCTTTCAGCTTCTTCTGGAGCTGAACCGAAGCCACCTGCTCGTCTTCTAGTTTGGAATTGATCTGGACCATCTCAAAATCTTTTTTTTTTAGTTTTTCCTCCAGCTGCTGCTTGTCGTTTTCTAAGTCCATCACACTCTCCTGAGTCAGTTTCAGGTCTCCTTCGAACTTCCTCTTTGAGCGCTCCAGATCCATCCTGACTTTCTTCTCCTGCTCCAGCGACCCCTCCAGATCATCCACCTGCTGCTCCAGCTTCACCTTGGCTTTGGTCAAGCTGTTGGCTTTGTCCTCCTCGCTCTGCAGGTCATCCAGTGCCTGCTGGTGGGCCTCCTGCAGCGCCTTCTTCTCTTTGGTTAGCTTCATGATGTTTTCGTCCTGGGAAGCCATCTCCTCCGTCAGGTTCTTCACCTTATTCTCCGTGGCATGTTTCTCTTTCTCCACCTTTGCCAAAGTCAGCTCCAGATCATCGATGTCTTTCTTCAGCTCGGAGCATTCATCTTCAAGCTTCCGTTTCTTAGCTGTGAGATCTGCGTTCATCTCCTCCTCGTCTTCCAGTCTCTCGGTCATCTCCTTCACCTTGGCCTCCTGCTGAATCTTGCTCTTGATCAGCTGCTCGCAGCGCTCCTCAGCGTCTGTCAGTGTGTCCTGTTCGGACTGAAGCTGCTGATTCAGGTCGCTCTTCTCTTGGAGAGTGCTAACTATGTTCTCCTCTAGTGCCTTACGTCTTGCTTCTGATTTCTCCAGAGCTTCTTTCAGCTTGCCAAAATCGTCCTTCATGTTGGCCATCTCCTTCTCCGACTCGGCGCTCTTCAGCAGAGGTTTGATCTTGAAGAAGAGCTTCATCCAGGGCCAGTTCTTCACACCCAGGAACGAGCGGATATTCCACTGGATGACCATCAGAGCGTCCCTACGTTCCACCAGCTCAGCAAACTGGGCTCTCATGAGGATGGCCCGGGCGTTAGCCTGGATCCTGGTGATGATTCGGGAGAGCTGCTCATCACGCATCTCCTCCAGCGTGCCCAGCAGACCAGCTTTAAAGAAGACCTTGGTGTGACCGAACCTGTACTGAGTGTGGTCGATGTCCAGGGATCCCAGCAACTTTTCTGCACTCTTCTTGCAGTCAATGAACTGGCCTTCAGGGATGGCAGAGGCGTTCAGAATCCTGTACCGCTGTTTGAAGTCTCCGTAGAGGACCCTGTTTGGGAAACCCTTCCTGCAGATCCTGATGCCTTCAAGGACACCGTTACAGCGCAGCTGGTGCATCACCAGGCAGTTGTCCATGGTCCCCGGAGTTTTACTCTCGTTAGGAATCAAACAGCGGACAAAGTGGGGATGTGTGGTCTTCAGGTTGTTCATCAGCTTGTTCAGGTTTTCCCTGTGAAGGGCTGAAACCGTCTGGAACGAGGAACCTTTCTTCTTGGCTCCTTTACCGCTGGCTTTCTCACTGCTGTCCGTCCCTGAAAAGGCTGAAAACAGCACACTGAGAAGCTTCAGAGAAGATTTCTGGTAAAGACCGACCACAGTTTCATTCAGGGGGTCTTTGTTTTTGACCAACCAGTTACCGATGTTGTAGTCCACCATGCCAGCATAGTGAGCCAGGGCAAAGTGAGCCTCTGATTTCCCCTTCGCAGCCCTGGGCTTCTCGAACATCTTGTTTTTGCCCAGATGATTGTCATAGAGCTTGGACTTGAAGGTCTGGTCGCTGGCTTTAGGAAACATACATTCCTCCTCCAGAATGGACAGGATCCCCAACGGCTTCTCGATGAGGTCTATACAGGCTTGTAGGTCCATCCCGAAGTCTATGAACTCCCAATCAATCCCTTCTTTCTTGTACTCTTCTTGCTCCAGAACGAACATGTGATGGTTGAAAAACTGTTGCAGCTTCTCGTTGGTGTAGTTGATGCACAGCTGCTCAAAGGTGTTGAAATCAAATATCTCAAACCCAGCGATGTCCAGCACGCCTATAAAGTACTGACGAGGCTGTTTGGTGGCCAGGGAGTGGTTGATTCTCACCACCATCCAGTTGAACATCTTCTCGTACACGGACTTAGCCACCGCCCCGATGGAGTAGTAGACTTGGTCCACACTTTGGCCTTTGGTGACGTATTCGTTTCCTACCTTGACTCTGGGATGGCACAGCCCTTTGATGAGGTCGGCAGAGTTCAGCCCCATCAGGTACGCAGATTTATCCGCCGCCTCCGTCCCGTCCGACTCAGCCTGCTCCTCGCGCTGCTTCTGTTTGAACCTCATGTTGCCGTAGTGCATGATGGCGCCTGTTAGCTTGTAGACGCCCATCTTCTCTTCCGCAGTAAAGCCGAGTACGTCGAAGGCGCTGTCGGTGGCCATCAGCTCCTCTGCGTCGTTGATGGAGGCGACGGTTACCTCTCCTTGGGAGATGTAGGCGTAATCGTACGGGTTGTTGGTGATCAGCAGCAAGTCCAGGAGCTCTGGCTTCTGGTTGGACAGGATCTGGTAGAAGATGTGGTAGTTCCTCTCAGCCTTGAGCTGAAAGGTGCAGCGGGACTTCTCCAGCAGGTACGTCTCGACGTCAGCAGACGACAACTTGCCGCTCGTCCCAAAGTGAATTCGGATGAATTTTCCAAAACGAGAGGAGTTGTCGTTTCTCAGCGTCTTGGCGTTGCCGAAAGCCTCCAGTGCGGGGTTGGCCTGGATGATCTGGTCCTCCAGCGTTCCCTTGCTGGGGTCTCTTTTGCCGACGGCAGCGATGCTGGCAAAGTACTGGATGACTCTCTTGGTGTTCACAGTCTTTCCGGCTCCGGATTCTCCGGTGATGAGGACAGACTGGTTCTCTCGGTCAGTGAGCATGTACTGATAGGCGTTATCAGAGATGGAGAAGATGTGAGGGGGAGCCTCGGTTCTCTTCTTCCCTCTGTATGCCGACACCACATCGGAGTCGTAGACGGGCAGAGACTTGTAGGGGTTGACGGTGACGCAGAAGAGCCCAGAGTAGGTGTAGATCATCCAGGCGGCGTAACGCTCTTTGAGGTTAAACAGCACGGCCGGCTCGTGGAGAAAAGTGAACATCACCATGTCTTCAATTTTATCAAATTTTGGCGGGTTCTGAGGGTGGACGTTCGACTCCTTCACGGTAACCGTTGTCCCGTCCTCCTTCTTAACGGTCGCCATGTCTCCATCTTTGCTTTGGATTTGTCCCTTCATATATTCCACCTTATCGTCCACTACAAAGCATTCGGTCTTGATGTCAAAAGCTCTGGTCTGGGCTTCCAGGCGCTCCTTGTCTGACTTCCTCAGGAAAGGAGCCGCCTTCCCGAACTCGGCCATCAGAAGGTCGCCCATGCTGGAGGGTCCCGGCAGTCGGAGGACAGAAGAAGAAGAAGGAGTGTTTGCTCTGGAGACTCTGAGGCTGAACTGGGACTCCTTGCAGCAGGCGGACGCTTATACAGAGGCTTCACGCACCAAATTAGGAGATAGCTGCTGAGGAGATAGCAGACACAGAAGATGACACTAAATGTATCCGGGATGTGCAGACACCACGAGGGCAGCTTCACGACCTTCGGCTGTTAGAGTCCATTTTAGGAAACACAGATTCACTGCTTATCTGCCGCTGATAGGGGCTCCTGCATTTAGACTCAGCTTCCACCCAAGATCATCCAGCACTTCATTCTGCTGCAGCTGCTGTGTTCATGTTTATACTGATATACACCTGAACATCAGCAGGAGAGGACTCTTTAAAGTAGAGACACTACATACTGATATACACCTGAACATCAGCAGGAGAGGACTCTTTAAAGTAGAGACACTACATACTGATATACACCTGAACATCAGCAGGAGAGGACTCTTTAAAGTAGAGACACTACATACTGATATACACCTGAACATCAGCAGGAGAGGACTCTTTAAAGTAGAGACACTACATACTGATATACACCTGAACATCAGCAGGAGAGGACTCTTTAAAGTAGAGACACTACATACTGATATACACCTGAACATCAGCAGGAGAGGACTCTTTAAAGTAGAGACACTACATACTGATATACACCTGAACATCATCAGGAGAGGACTCTTTAAAGTAGAGACACTACATACTGATATACACCTGAACATCAGCAGGAGAGGACTCTTTAAAGTAGAGACACTACATACTGATATACACCTGAACATCAGCAGGAGAGGACTCTTTAAAGTAGAGACACTACATACTGATATACACCTGAACATCAGCAGGAGAGGACTCTTTAAAGTAGAGACACTACATACTGATATACACCTGAACATCAGCAGGAGAGGACTCTTTAAAGTAGAGACACTACATACTGATATACACCTGAACATCAGCAGGAGAGGACTCTTTAAAGTAGAGACACTACATACTGATATACACCTGAACATCAGCAGGAGAGGACTCTTTAAAGTAGAGACACTACATACTGATATACACCTGAACATCAGCAGGAGAGAACTCTTTAAAGTAGAGACACTACATACTGATATACACCTGAACATCAGCAGGAGAGGACTCTTTAAAGTAGAGACACTACATACTGATATACACCTGAACATCAGCAGGAGAGGACTCTTTAAAGTAGAGACACTACATACTGATATACACCTGAACATCAGCAGGAGAGGACTCTTTAAAGTAGAGACACTACATACTGATATACACCTGAACATCAGCAGGAGAGGACTCTTTAAAGTAGAGACACTACATACTGATACATGGGCGTAGGAAGCATCCTGAATGTGGGGGGGACATTTTTAACGGGGGGTGTGGGGGCGAAAAAAATAAATAGATTTCCTGTATTCTGGTGCATTTGAACAGGTGGTTTGATACTTTTATGTGGCTATACTAGCATGAGGAAAATGATGGGTACATTTTGTAATTTCATCCAGTAGTAAAGAAAGGAAACATATTTGATTATTAATTCAGAGCCGTCTTTGAATTAATAAAAAGCAGTTTAAATGCCCATTTTTTGTACATTTATATACAACAATAAATATTTGTGAGTGCATTGAGAGATATTGTTGTGGAGAGTCATTTATATATAAATCACAAAATACATTTGTGAATCCTTCTGTGAGCATTTATTAATATTGAGACTGATCTGACTCCATACGGATGTTAAGTTCACCTAGGAATGGTATCATTGACTTAAATGTTCAAATAAATGTTGCTCTTCTGTCTATATTGGTCATATGATGCCCCTTGACTGAAATGTTTCCTGTTCAATATCCCCACTGATTTCCTTAAAACCCTGGGATGAGAGTCCACATCACAATTTACTCTCAACTGTCATTTCCCTTTCATCACTCACCTCAGCAATGGACCTCTCTCCACTGTCCCTGTATTCTGCCTCTGACTCACTCTCAAGTGCCTAGATGTCAAGAGAGGTGGTGAAGTGATCATTATTTATTGAGCAGTATACTCTTTCACATTGAATCATAACAAGTCATACTGAATGTAAATACAACGGACTCTAAAGTAACTCCCAGTCTGTGACATTGGACATTTTGAAGACTCAAAGTCCCAAGCAGTAGGTAGAATATTAGCTAGTCTATGTAATGTGCACAGAAAATAAATAGTTAACTGAATACTGGGATGGAAATAGCCTATAAGCACTCAGTAAAACATAAACACACACAAAAAGCTTCTGAATGATAAGAAGTATAATTAAAACATAATGCACATTACCATTTTGAGAGAGAGTACCTAAGTTAAAGAACTCAGAAAAGAATCTCTTATCGAACTGAGGCTCCAGTAAAACACACTGACTGCGTCTCTACATGGACATCAGTAAGCCGTGTATGAGTATTATCCTGGTTATGATGTGTTTACATGAGCAGAGAGATCGGGTTATTCATGTTCCCTGTTTACATGATAAATACTAGTAACCTGGCATTTCGATGCCTTTTCTCATCTAAACTATTCAGTATTTGTATTTCTCTATCATGACATAAAGACGAAACTCCTCTCCAGAAGTGAGACGCATTTGCCGCCACCACCGCCATCACTGTTAAGTTAACACTGTTAACTGATTAACTGCTACCAGCTGATGACTTACTTTCCTCTTCTTTGCAAAAAATGTTCTTATGTCCATGTTGTCTGGGGGAGAAAACATATCAAACCAAGAGATCGTCAGCTTTGATTTTCGCTGTATTAACCTTTTCCTGATCATTTGGTGTGTGTGCCTTACCTCCGCTACCGGCATCCTTCATACAACAGAATCTGAGCTGTCCAACTATGACAACACTCCGTGAACATGCGCGCGCTATGTGAGAA